CACCACTATCACCATCATCATCATCACCATCATCATCATCATCATCACCATCATCATCATCATTTCAGCCGAACAACGGAAAAGCACGTTACGCTAAGAAAAATTGAAATCTTAGTCAACCGTCACAGCATAGCAACCCAACCACGTGCACATTTTTCATCATTTTCCTCGTCATCTTCATCATCATCATTTCCACCACGGTCATCGTCATCTCTGTAAATTTCATCATCATCTACATCATCCTCAACATCGTTTATTACATTATTTATTCATCATCTCTAGCATTTCAATCATCATCTCTACCATTGTCTTCATCATCTCCACCATCTTCTTCGTCACCATCACTCCCATTCTTTTAATCATCTACATCACGGTCCTTATCCTATTCCATCCATACATCCTTTTTATCATTTTAATCATCTTGTCTTCATCATCACCTTTCAAATATATTTTCAGCGTCATCGTTTATCACCACAGTCAACACTATATTATCATCCTCATTGTAATCATTAACAAAGCTACGGTGATCATCGCAATCATCATCACATTCATCATAGCAATCATATCATCACATAATTATTTCTACAGACTTTGTGTACCTGTTTAAACTGTAAGAAATATGTTAATTAAAATGGAAAAAACATTTAATTATATATTTAAACATTAAATTTTTAAATTGCGATTTTTTCCCAATTTTATTGAATTAAATGTTTTGTTGATTAAATATAACGAATGTAATTAATACCACGGTTGGTTCATTATTTTTCCAGATACAACCACAAAACCCAAAACTCGATTTTATATTAACAATTTCATGTTGAAGACTCATGTGTCAAAAATTTGAAATATTTTTTCGTGTCCACTTCATTGTTAACTAAAAAAAAACATTTACCTAAACTCTGACTTTGAAAAACTGATCGAACTGTGATATGACGGGCAGGCGTTGGTATTTTCAAAAGTTCTGTCAAATTTATCGAATATATGTATTTGAGGTCTGTTGTAATTGAATGTTTGATTTTGATTAGTCGGTGTAAGTCAAACAAAGCCAGCATCCCTAGCATTCTGGTTGATTAGATGAGCGAAACATTTTTAGCATACATACAGAAATTCCTCCATGAACAACACTAACCAAATATTGTGTTGTTGCCACCAACCACAACCACAAGCAACATCATTGTTGCAACAAGCAACAACATTGTTGCGACCAACAACAACATTGTTGCGACCAGCAGCAACATTGTTGCGACCGGCAACAACATTGTTGCAACCAACACCAGATATGAATATCAATTCAACTGATAACAGAAAATCAAATAACATCAACCGTTTTATAAGCAACAGTCAGGTCGAACAAACAGCAATTTGTCAAACTTTTTTTCAAAAATAATAAATCAAACAGTTCAGCGAAACAACAAATTTTTGCAACACACAACACGAAAGCATAACATCAACAACACATTACAACAATAGTCCATCACAACAACAGCCCATTACAACAATAGCTCTCATTGAAGCATCAACCTTATCAAATGTGTCATAAAATCAGAAGTTGAAAATTAACACCAACAACAACCACAACAATCAGCCACAACAACCGACAACAACCAATCACAACAACCAACTATTATACAACAACCGACCACAAGAACAACCACAACAATGACAGCAACAAAATACAACAACAGCAAACAACATTTTATATTACATAATTAAATTGAAAAAACAACAACAACAGCATAAAAAAATAGAATACTCTAAGAAATATGAAACAACTGACAAAACAAAGTTCTCCTGTTATAAATACCTGCAACAATCCCTATTACATATCATTTCTATCTATATTTTCCAATTGTTCTCTGTAAGTGTATATTTCAATTCCAATGTATAACTTTCTCTTTCTCGATTCTTCAAGTCATTAAATATTGACGAGATGTCAGAAATAAATTGAATCTTCCCATCTTCACCGTGTATGAAGTTTTTTTTAACGTTAATATTTCATTGGTTATTTTATTTATTTATTTAATTATTTATTTATTTTTGTAAGATGTTTGCCGTTATGACATTGAGATTTGTTTGTTTAAGTATTGTTAGTAATATATGTATTATTATTACTATTATTATTATTATTAGTAGTAGTAGTAGTTGTTGTTGTTGTTGTAGTTGTTGTTTTTTTGGTAGTAGCAGCAGCTGCAACAGTAGCAATAGCAGCAGTAGTATTAGTAGCAGCACTAAACTCCACAACACTTCTTTGCCGTAAGTAGTGAAAGTAGCAGATGCAGTATTAGTAACAAGTAGTATTTATTAGCAACCATGGCATTTGTTTGTAGTAACTGACAACCCGGTCTTAGTCGTAGCAATATTTATATTGTTGTTGTTTTTCTTGCAGTTGTTCACTATTATCTTCTGATGTCGTGCTAGATGGACTGCTGACAGCAAACTTTTTCTATGAGACAAATGGGTCCAACTACTACTACTAATACTGCTGCTGCTGCGGTTACTACTACTACTACTACTGCTGCTGCAGCTGCTGTTACTACTACTACTACTACGACTACGACTACTACTAACAATAATAATGATGATACAGTATCATTAATTTAATTTTAGAAAAAGTATTTTAACCACTATTTTTCAAACATCGTTGACAGAAGGAATAACCAAGACAAGAAAAATACCAAAAACAAAACAGATTGCTTTAAAGTTCAACACAACTCGTTAAGAAGCATTATTCAGTCTTGTAAACCACATCAGACTGCAGTATCTACTCACCAAACATAATCCTCATCATCTTCATCATCCTCATCATCTTCATCATCCTCATCATCTTCATCATTTTCATCATCCTCATCATCTTCATCCTCTTTTTTATCATCGTCATCACAATTGATTTTTCATCATTAATAATATTGTTATCATCGTCATTACCATCGCAATCAAATTTTCATCATCATTAATATCACTAAGATATCTATCAAACATTCCC